TAAAAAAAAAAAAAAAAAAAAAAACAAACATAAAAAATAATTATTAATTTTTTAAAAACTTGAATGCTTTAATTTTTAAAATTTGTTTTTGTTTTTATTTTGTTTGGTTTTTTTGGTCAATTCATAATTTATTATCATAATTATTAATGATCATGGTGATGTAAATTGAATAAGTGGGATGAACCAATTAAATTAAATAAATCCATCTGTACCATTATTAATTAAATAAAGGATAATTTAATTTGATTCTTTAGAATTATTGTAGCCATATTTTTATTCAAAACCATATGATTTTTCATTTGAATGCTTTGGATTCTACCTTAAAATATACGATTAAATTTTAGAATAAGGTTTTAATGAAATTAATCACAATAACATGGTGGTATTTTCTTACCAAATTAATAAGATATAAAATATTTATCTCAATAATAATTAATATATTTACCGATGAGAGGTCCATTTAACTGAGTCTATAGACATTCTCCAATAAAAAAAAAATCTCGTTTTAAACAAAACGGAAAATTCTCATTTAAACGAGTAATAGGAAGAGATTTCTTCACATCAGCTAAATAGTAAGAGGAAAATTCTCGTTTAAAACGAAAAATTGGAAAAGATTTCTTCTCATTGGCTAAATAGAAAAATAGACACGGAAAAGACTTCTTCATCTCTGCTTCTTAAACATCTCTGACTATAACACGTCATAACACTTTTAAATACCGAAAAATCTAACTTCAATAAAATATATAATGATTTTTTTTGGCTTTTTTTTTTTTTAATTTTATTTATTGCTCATTGTCCAATGATTAGAGAAACGCATGTCTTAATGAATTACCCGAATTTCAACCGGCTTTTCTTAGCTGGAATTGTCGTGTAGGAGAGAGAAAAAAACGATATAAAAATACACGTGGCACCTTTAATTACATGCCAGCACGTTCAAACCCCCGACCGTTTCTCTTCGTAACAACGAATATTTCCTATTGCCGACAGCCCAAACGGTGTTTTTTTTTCTGACGTGTCCTCCGTCTTTGTACACGTCGAAATTAAATATTCAATTAAATACTAATAAATTCCTATTAAATTAATTACTAATAAATTTCTATTCCTATTTTATTTGATTGCACAAAGGTTCTAGGTCAATTACTTTTGTGCTGTGAGAGAACGTCATATATGATATCTATACCTAATGTCAACCCGTTAAGTTTGACATTTATTATCTGAAGTCAACATGTCATTAAAATATTATATTAATAATATTAGTGTCAACCACGAACATGAGTTTAGTCAAAGACTCTAACTTGATACTTAAAAAACAGTGCAACTTACTAGTCAAAACATCTTTGTTCTGTTTAACTAGTTATAAATTCAAATATTTACTAGACACCCTTAAAAGAAATTAAAAATATTTTCAAGAAATAGATTATTATTATTATTCTTACACGTCCAAGGAATAATGGAAAGGTCCCACTTCACATTCGTCCGTTCATTCCAATTCCCAAACGATATGATCCTGTAGAGCCAAATTGGGAGAAAAATCAGCAAGGATTCTGCAAAGCTCTTTCTCTCAGCTATGTTATCCCCTCTTCTTTGCTCTCTCCTCCTCTTTTCCCATTCTTCACTCCTCATTTCTGCTCTCAGCGCCATTCCCAGCTTCGGTACTCTTCTTTTCATGTCTTAATCTGTTTCCTTTTGAAGAAAAAAGAAAAAATGAACTCCATTGTTGTGTAATCTGAGGTTTTTCTTTTCTGGGTTTTGATGAACTTCAGAGAACTCTGGTGGGGTTCAAGTTTTTGAGGTCTCGGAGCCATGGAGGGCTGGAAGAAGCCTTGCGGAGCAGAACCCTGCTGGGAATTCGTCTCTGATTTTGGCTGAAGAGAGGACTCAGCGGAAAGACCCGCTGAATGATTTTAATCCCTATATGGGTGGATGGAATATCAGCAGCCAACATTACTGGGCTGTAAGTTCTTTCCCTGATTTCAATTTTGGGTTCTGTTAGTTGCAATAATTCTGTACTGATCTTCTTCTCTGTCTTTGTGATGCTTACTTAGAGTTTTCTACTGTTTGTGTGGTTTGTGTTGTGGTATATGAGTTGCGTTAGGAATCACGGATCTCCAGAATGGTATGATATTGTCACCTTGAGCATAAGTTCTCGTGGCTTTACTTTTAGTTTCCCCAAAAGGTCCCGAACCAGTGAAGATGTATTCTTTAGTTATAAACCCATGATCCTCCCAACAATCCTCCCCTCGAACAAAGTACACTATAGAGCCTCCCTTGAGGTCTATGGAGCCCTCGAACAGCCTCCCCTTAATTGAGGCTTGACTGCTTTCTCTAGAACCCTCGAACAAAGTACACCATTTGTTTGGTACTTAGTCATTTTTTACTACACTTTCAAGAGTCCCAACTTCTTTGTTCGACATTTGAGGATTCTATTGACATGACTAAGTTAAGGGCATGACTCTAATATTATGTTAGGAATTACGGATCTCCACAAATGGTATGATAGTGTCCACTTTGAGTATAAACTCTCATGGCTGTGCTTTTGGTTTTCCCAAAAGTCCTCATACCAATCGAGACAGTATTCCTTCTTATAATCCCATGATCTTTCTCTTAATTAGCTTACGCCGGACTCCCTCCCAACCCTACTCAACATTATCATTGATTTGGTGGTGGTAAGAGAGTGACTTTGTAGTCCTTTTCATTCTTGTTTTCTTCTTTTTTGTGAACCGAAAGGCTTAAACACTGATGAGAACTAACATGAACTTTGGTTTGGGTCAGTTCGATTGTGAATTCTGGCTAAATTTGAACTTGGGTTCTTGTTTTTAGGACTCATCTTCACTACTTAATGTGTCCTTTGACAATATGTTAACCATGGTGCCTTCTGTCCTGTTCCAATCTGATGCAGTCTGTTGCACTTACTGCTATTCCATTCTTTCTCATTGCTATTGCTTGGTTCGTGCTCTTCGGTATATGCTTGTTCATCACCTGTCTATGTCGTTGCTGTTGTCGGAGGGAGCCGTATGGCTATTCTCGAACAGCCTATGCCCTCTCCCTTGCTTTCCTCATATTCTTCACCATCGCAGCAATGTAAACATCCCTCTCCCTCCAAACTGCAGTATAAATCATCTAATGTGGCTCAGAAGTTAATGTGAAGATATCTTTGTTTTTGTACTTTGAAACAGTGTAGGATGCATTGTGTTATATGTCGGTCAAGGGAAGTTTCATAGCCGTTCATCGAGCACGTTGGACTATATAGTAGATCAGGCAGATGGAACTGCTGAAAACCTCAAGAATCTGTCAGTATATCTTTCTTCAGCTAAGTCTATCGGAGTCGATTCGATATTTCTGTCTACCGACGTTAAGAAACAAATCGACGACATTGGCACGGAGATAAGTTCTGTTTCTTCCAATCTTACTGATGCAGCCGCTGATAACTCAGGCACCATACAGAGAGGCCTAGATGAAACGTTAGTAGATCCTCTTTTATCAAATTTCAGTGCTTTCTGTGACCCCGAGTAACACGTTTTCGTGTCGTATATTGCAGGCGACTTATCCTCGTTGTTATTGCTGCTGTTATGCTCTTGTTGGCATTTATTGGATTCTGTAAGTGTGTTTACTTGTCTTAGTAAATAAATTATGAACTGACCATAATTGAATCTTTCTTAAATCATTTTTGCTACCTGATCCAGTATGTTCCATCTTCGGATTGCAGTGTATCGTATACACGTAAGTATATCTACCATTTCGTTTTCCTCGTACAAAACATGTTTTTGATGTCATGTTGTAGTCGTTTGAACACTTGAATTCTTATTTGCTGCAGATTGGTCATATTTGGTTGGATTCTCGTTGCAGTCACGTTCATCTTATGTGGCGTGTTTCTTCTTCTTCATAAGTAAGCATCTCGATTTCATCGATAAGGCGTTTTCTAATGAAATTGATGCATATAGGAAGATTACAATATGCTCATCTTCAATGGAACTCATAGGATATTTGATGAGTTTTGTGAGATCCCACATTCGTTGGGGAGGAGAACAAAACATTTTTTACAAGGGGAGAAGAACGAAACCTCTTCCTAGTAGACGTGTTTTAAAAACCTTGAGGGGAAGCCCGAAAAGGAAAGCCCAAAGAAGACAATTTCTGTTAGCCGTGGGCTTCGGCTATTACAAATGGTATCATAGCCAAACACCGGGCAATGTGCTAATGAGGAGGCTAAGCACCGAAGGGAGGTGGACACGAGGCGATGTGCTAGTGAAAACGCTGGGCCCCGAGTGGGGTGAATTGTAAGATCCCACATCGGTTGGGGAGGAGGACGAAACATTCTTTGTAAGAATGTGGAAACCTCTCCCTAGCAGACGCATTTTAAAAACCTTGAGGGGAAGCCCGAAAGGAAAAGTCCAAAAAGGACAATATGTCTGCTAGCTATGGGCTTGAGCTGTTACAAGTTTGATGGTTGAAAGAGGCATCTCTTGTTCAAGAAGTGCTCTTGTTTTATTGAATATCGTCTCTATCATCTCCCAATTGATTTCTTTTTCCTTCTCTCTTAGCGTGGTCGGAGATACATGTGTTGCAATGGAAGATTGGCTGCAGAATCCCACCGCCCACACGGCGTTAGACGATATTCTTCCTTGCGTCGACAACGCCACTGCCAAAGAAATTCAGACCGGAACCAAGAATGTGAATTACCAACTTGTAAGTTTGGTCAATGGAGTGATCAACACAATCTCAAATGCCAACCCCCCTGCAAATGTCGTCCCTCCTCTGAATTACAATCAATCCGGCCCATTGGTGCCGCCTCTTTGCAGTCCGTTTCATTCCAATCTCACGGATCGACACTGCTCGGCGAATGAAGTAGAACTGAGCAAAGCTCCTGAGGTAAGAGATATATGATATAGCTATAGCTCAAACAAGCACATACAACGCAGCCTTTTACTAGATATATGATATGATATAGCTAGCTCAATTCGAGTATGATATATGATATCTAGCTAGCTCAAACAAGCACGTACAATGCATTTTTCTTCGAAAATCTCGACATATATCTCGAATTGTTGCGTGCAGGTTTGGACGACATTCACTTGTCGAGTATCATCTTCAGGCATTTGCACCAACACTGGCCGGTTGACTCCAACTTTATACAACCAAATGACAGCTGCAGCAAACGTTAGCTATGGTTTGTATCACTATGGACCGTTCTTGGTCGAACTCGTAGACTGTACGTACGTTCGACAAGTGTTTACGGATATAAGTAAGAATCATTGCCCCGGGCTTCGACTATACTTGAAATGGATATATGTCGGGTTGGTTCTGGTGTCTGGTGCTGTCATGCTGTCCCTGATCTTCTGGATTATATACGCGAGAGAGCGACGACATCGGGTTTATACTAAGCAGTTTAATTCCAGAGCTCCAGGAGAACAAGACAAGGGCAGCTAGGTATCAGTCCAATATGCATTACACTAGACACTCTTTGAGTACTTTTTCTTTCAATGTACATTATTTGGTTGCATGAGAACTGAAAGAGTTTCACTTATTTGATGAACTTCATGTGATTTTATTTAATGGTTGCCTTCTGTTTCCTTTGAATCTTTTGTTGTTTCATTTAACACACGAGATTAGAGACCGGTCAGCATGGGATGAGAAATCTCCGTTTAAACACAGAATGAAGGAGGGATTTGAGAGAGATTTTTCTTCGTTAGCTAAATGAGAACAGGGACTCTCAAGTCAATCCCCGTCCTGCTTTACTTTTATCTAGTAATGGTCTTGATTGGTCTGCGAAATTCGATGGGCTTGTGATAGGTCGTAGCCAACAAATTAAGAATTTGTGGTTCGGTCGAAATGTGGTTCTTCAATTCCGATATCTTTGACATTTCCAGCATCTATAGAATGAGCACGGTGAGTTATTTCAAAAAGATGGTGACATGAAATAGAAACCTTCTTTCTTTTTTCCCATCTATCACAAGGGAGCTTCAGATCAAACGGGACCATTTTTGTCGTTTTGGTTATTTTGGTTATTTAAACAGCCGAAAAGGAAAAAAAAAAAGATAAAAAAGCCGAAAGCTCATATACCTAAACCACAGGCCGGTTCAACTAACCCAACCGCCATAGGGTTGGTCGGGTTAAACTTAGACATCATTTGAAACTTTTCCCGCCAAAATAAAATTTTAAGAAAATATACTTTTATTTATTTATTATTTTTGCTGTTCAGTCCTCCTACTTATTAAAATTAATATTATAGTTTAAACTTTTAAATGTGCAAAAGATGAAGGGTATGATAGTAAATACGCCGCTCTATAAATTGGATATTTTCTCTTATCGTCCGAGAAACCCAATAAATAGAGAGTGAGAGTGAAAACGGGTTTGCCAAACTGAATAGCCGAACTCGGCTTAGGCTTAGAGCCGAGTTGGAAGCTCAAGATTCATCCCCTTCTCTCTCTACTGTGACGAAAATGGCGGCAACGACTCGAAGATCAAATGCAGCAGTTCTCCGCTCGCTCTCACCGTCGACCTCCAGTTTCTCCTCCAGATCGGCCGCTTCCTTCTTCTGCAGAACGACTTCCCCGTCGCGTGCGAAGCTTCACGGTTCGCCTTCGGTTTCCGTGTCGTCCATGCGGTTTTCTCTAGACCGTGCGATTTCTCCGAACAGATCCGTGTCTGTTTCTTCTCGCTGCGGTGGGAAGAATCGAGTGGTGCAGAGGCAGAGCAGTTTGAAGAAGACGTGTATGTGTTCTCCTACAACTCACCCTGGCTCGTTTCGGTGTAGTCTCCATAAAGGTACTGTTTCGCAACCTCACGCAGCGTACTCTCCAAGTAGGTTGAATGCTCGTAGATCGGCAATGACGAATTCTCTGGTTAGAATTGGAGGCGTTGAAGGCGATCTTGTGAAGCGAGCTTTAGCGGCATTGATTCGGCCTTCATCTCATCAGCAACGACGCCGAGTTGATTTCAAGGTAAAGAGTAGCCGGCTGTCGATTATGTCCAAGGCCGAAGAAACATCATAATTTTTCGGTATGGTGAAATTGCAAACAAACTCTGAGGTTAGCAATTGCCAAATCTCTGAAGTTCGACTGATCTTACGGTGCTATCGTTTTCCCTCCGGAGACCATTACTGGCATTCATCACTATAGAACTCTTAAATCCCCTATGTACAGAAATTTTTTACACCGATATGAAATTATTTGTGTTCGTCGGTGCTCAGACCTAAAATTTCGATTAAATCGAGCAATCGATCAAGATCGAACCAAATTCACATCAACTAAAAAGGTCCTTAACTTCACTAATCAGACCAGATTTTAGAATTAGGGTTTGGAAATTCCTCCATTAGCAGTTTTACCACTCTTGAATCCTGAGTTCCTGCATTCCGTTACCTCCGCCATTTGATTTGACGTTTTCCATGGATTCATTTCACCTTCATTGCCGTGGGCTGCGATAGAGTTGTGGATAAGCATACAGCAGTGATCAGGCTCTTTCATCGCCGCCTGCTTTGTCGCTTTCTGCTTTTTCTTTTGAATTCTCTGGGAGAGGTAAGAATTGGTATTGCTGCTTTTCCTTTTTCTCCTTGTGATCGGGATTTGTTTGTTTCATCTTTTTCTTTATGCTTTTGTTTTTAATTTATATTTCATCATTTTGCAGGGATTGATTTGATTGATTCTCAGCGGCAATGGATACGAATCGTTATCGAGTTTTAAAAAGACCTTTCAAAAGAAAATTGTTTATGGGCCTCAATTCATAACAACATCCTCCCTCGCATATCTACTAATGGCGGACTCTGATGATCCTGTAAACGTCTAAATTTTCCTACATGATGAAGTACTTTCTGGGGAACTCTTCCTAGGGATAAAAAAGTGTAATCAAAATACAGAGCCACAAAATCGGTGCCAGAAAGGGATGAATAAAAGAGAGGCGGCTCAGATCTGGAAATGGGGCAAAGCAGAGGAGGCCTACCATGGCGGCGAAGTCTAGCAGACCAGCCGGATCACCATGCCGATGAATCGAACCTCCTTGGCCATTGCCCTAAAATCCTCACACTCCAAGTTCAAAACCATCATCATAGCCTTTATAGGGGAGAATTCCGGCACTACAGTTCACTGAAGGGCCGGACGTTTAGAGAGAGAGAGAGAAAGAAAGAGAGATAGACATACATACATATATATATACATATAAATATACAAACGCACACAAAGAGAGAGAGAGAGAAAGAGGGTTCGGAGAGGCAATCGCCGGCTGCCGGCGATACATAGCGAGGAAAAGAAGGATCTCCTCCAATCGCTCTGCAACGACGGAGCCTCATTCATGGCGGAGTGTGAGGCCGAACCCTAATTTTCCGCCACTCTCCCCTCCCTCAATTTATAACCTCGTCCCTCTCCTTTCTTTTTATTCCTAAAAAAAAAACAATAATAAAATAAAATAAAACAATTTTGGGTAAAAATGTAGTATAGAGACAAAAATAAAAAAATGAAAAAAATTGAAAGAAAAAAAAGCTCAAAGTAAGTTGAAAAAGAACCAAGTAAAAGAAATACTAAAATTTAGAAAATTATCAATATATTTAAATTTAATAAATTAAATTTCATTTTAGTCTCTAAAATTGAATTAAATGTCTGTTTGGTCGAGAACTTTTAAAATTTACAATGTATTTTGATATTTTTAAAGGTCACAAATTTATTAAATATAAAATTTAAATTTATATCAATTATTTTTTAATATTTTAAATTTATTAAGAACATATAAAACACAACTTAAAAAAATTTAGATATTTAAGGGAAACAAAAAAAAAAAAAGACCCAATTCTCCATGATTTTCTTCTATTCTCGTCGAATTCTGAGATTCTGAAGTTCGATTCACGAGACATTTGTTGAAAAATTGTTGGCGGTTAATAGAAATGTTTGTGAAGTATGAGAGTGTTTAGACGGAAATTTATGCCTGTAAGGTGTTTGATAAAAAGCCTGTAACCAAGAGGAGGTTAATAAAGTGATGGAAATAGCCAAAACTGCTCAGAAATCATGGGCAAAGACTCCATTGTGGAGGAGAGCTGAGGTTCTTCACAAATCTGCTGCGATTTTGAAAGAACACAAAGCCCCCATTGCTGAGTGCTTGGTGAAGGAAATTTCAAAGCCGGCCAAAGATGCAGTGACCGAGGTACTGTTGTTGTTTTGTTGGATTGGTAGCTTTTTTCATTAAAATTATGAAGTGGTAATGGTTTGAATACGTTTGAATGGTGTGAAGGTTGTGAGATCTGGAGATCTTGTTTCATATTGTGCTGAAGAAGATGTTAGGATCCTGGGAGAGGGGAAGTTCTTGGTTGCTGATAGTTTTCCTGGAAATGAAAGGACCAAATATTGCCTTACTTCCAAGGTACATGTTCTCCTCTTCTTCTCTGTTTTGTCTAGGACAATAATGCACTTTCTGTCTCACCTGTGTATCTTTCGATCTTGATCTTTAGAATAGAAACTTGTTAGAATGTTGAATGAAAATTGAGTAATATTGATATGAATTGTAAATTGTGACATGGAATGATGTGATGGTGACCTGAAATGGAACATAAAAAAGGGGATCCTATCAACTTGTTCCAATCTAGGATAATAAGTTCATGAGCTTACTCTTACTTCACTGTCGAGAAATGAAAGAAGACTTCCATTTCCAAGTTTAACTCAGACATAGCTTGCTTCTTTTTTGGGTGTGAAGCAATGTCAAACCAAAATACTCAACAAGTATTTTTTGGGTGTGAGGTGATTCAGCTGTACCTTCCAGTATGGCTACCTTGTTACGACTTCACTCTAGTCACTAGCCCTGCCTTCAGCATCCCCTCCTTACGGTTAAGGTAATGACTTCGGGCATGGCCAGATCCCATAGTGTGACGGATGGTGTGTACAAGGCCTAGGAAAGATTTTACCGCCGTATGGCTGACCGACTATTACTAGCGATTCTAACTTCATTTCAGCCTACAATCCGAACTGAGAACAAAGTTTTTGGAGTGGTAACCTGAAATGAAAATTTGGACCTAACACCACATTCGAAGTCTCAATTTCCACCCAACATTCTACCGTATTTCTACCCAATATCATAGTTTTGAAATGCCTATAAAAGTACTGTAAGTTTTAAAAGAATAAAAATTGCTTCAACCTAGCTGGTTTTCCTAAAGGTCTTATTAGCTGTGTCACCGGAAAAGGTTCTGAGATTGGTGATGTCCTCACGATGCATTCGGGTGTCGACTGTATAAGGTAAACACTGCTTCATTCCACTTGATTCACGAGGTCTTCCATTTGGGTGTCTCTGTTTTATACTTCCTTTTTTTTTTTTTTTTTTTTTTTTTTTTTTTTTTTTTTT